GCTCTTTACTCACCTCAGCAAAATGGAATTGCTGAAAGGAAAAATAGGACTTTAAAAGAAATGATGAATGACATGATAATAAGTTCTGGATTACTTCAGAACTTGTGGGGGGGAAGCAATACTTTCTGTTAATTATGTACTTAATAAAATACCCCAAAAGAAAGTGAATCAAACACTTTATGAATTGTGGCATGGAAGAGTACCATCCTACAAAAACTTAAAAGTATGGGGTGTTTGGCTAAAGTGGCTATTCCTAGTCCTAAAAAGACTAAGATAGGTCCTAAGACCATTGATTGCATTTTCATTGGTTATGTTAAGAATAGTAGTTCATATCGATTTTTGATTCATAAATCAGAACATACCGAAATGCATGTAAATATTATTATTGAGTCTCGAAATGCATCATTCTTTTAACATGTATTTCCAAATATGACTGGACAAGAGATTAGTAACAATAAAAGATCTCATGATGCCACTACTAGTCAGGATTAAGAACATGATCAAGAACAAGAGTAAGAGTTAGACCAAAATGAGGAAGAGGAACCTAGGCGCAGTAAACGTGATAGAACCTCAAAATCTTTTGGTCCAGATTTTCTAACATTTTTGTTGGAAAATGAGCCTTTAACTTTTAAAGAGGCTATGTCCAGTCCTGAAGCTCTTTTATGGAAGGAAGCTATCAATAGTGAAGTTGAATCCATCTTGCAAAATCACACTTGGGAATTGGTGAATTTACCACCAGGTTGTAAACCTCTTGGGTACAAGTGGATTTTCAAAAGAAAAATAAAAGCGAATGGATCAATTGACAAATACATGGCAAGACTTGTGGTTAAAGGTTTTAAACAAAAAGAAGGTCTTGATTACTTTGACACATATTTACCGGTTACTAGAATAACATCCATTAGAATATTAATTGCTATTGCATCTTTATACAATTTAGAAATTCATCAAATGGATGTAAAAATCGCTTTCTTAAATGGTGAATTAGAAGAAGAAATTTACATAGAACAACCAGAAGGGTTTTCTGCTCCGGGGAAAGAAAAAAAAATGTGTATATTGGTTAAATCATTATATGGTTTAAAACAAGCGCCAAAGCAATGGCATGAGAAATTTGACAAGGCAATGATGTGAAATGGATTTAAAATTAATGAGTGTGACAAATGTGTTTATATTAAAAACGCAGACAAAGGTTATGTTATTGTATGTCTTTATGTAGATGATATGCTCATCATAGGTAGTAATAATGACATGATTAAAACTACCAAGAAAATGTTAAATAGACATTTTGACATGAAGGACATGGGCATTGCTGATGTAATTCTTGGTATGAAAATTACCAAAACATCAAAAGGTTATGCTTTGTCACAATCTCATTACATTGAGAAAATATTTGACAAATTCAGCAAAGATGATGATCATCTTGCTAGAACACCTGTAGATGTTAATTTGTATCTTTCTAAGAATATACAGGAAAGTATTTCTCAATTAGAGTATGCCCAAATTATTAGAAGCTTAATGTACTTGATGAACTGCACTCGCCCAGATATAGCTTATGCAGTAAGTAAATTAAGTAGATATACGAGTAACCCGGGAGTAGAACAATGGAAAGCAATTATAAGGGTTCTTAGATATCTCCGATTTACTCGTAACATTGGGCTGAATTATACGAGATATCCAGCAGTACTTGAAGGATACTGTTATGCAAACTGGATATCGGATATAAGAGACTCAACGTCCACCAGTGGTTATGTCTTTACTCTTGGTGGGGCGGTTGTATCTTGGAAATCTTCCAAACAGACTTGCATTGCTAGGTCTACTATGGAATTTGAATTCATAGCTTTAAACAAAGCAAGGGAAGAGGCAAAATGGCTTCACCACCTTCTTGAAGATATTCCAATATGGCCAAAACCAGTGCCTGGTATATGCATACATTGTGATAGTCAATTAGCAATAGGTAAAGCACAGAGTCATATGTATAACGGTAAGTCACGACACATTCGTCGTCGACATAACACCGTGAGACAACTACTCTCTAATGGAATTATTTCCATTGAATATGTAAAGTCTAAAGACAACATAGCAGATACACTAACCAAAGGGTTAGCAAGAGAGTTAGTTGGGCAATCATCGAGGAAAATGGGACTAAAGCCTATTAAATAAGAGTTACCACAACGGCAACCCAACCTAGTTGACTGGAGATCCCAAGATCTAGGTTCAAAGGGACAACCGAGTTGTGTATGACTCAGAAGGATCACTGGGGAGTTAAACTCCTACCCATTTCTATCATGAAATAGTGATGACTCCAGCATTTTAGGTTAAGTAAAATTTTAATGGTTCTTATATCTAGGTAAACCTAGTGGAATATGGCAGGATACTCTTCATAAAAATCACCTATATGAATGTGAACTGGGCCGGTTCTATGAGACTTGTGAAGGGCTACAATTCTCTAGAGCACTCATGAAAGACCAGATTGTTCAGGGCCAAAATGAACACAATAGTGAGAACTAAACTGTGTCTGGAGATATACTGTGTATGTTCTACTGTCTTGGTTTACACAAACGGCTGAACAGTTCAAGACATCAAGTTCACTAGTTAGCTAGTAAATTCAATAGTGTCTCACAATGGAAGGTTCAAAGCCAAAAGCTACCTATCTTTTGCAGAATATTTTCAATTTATGTACTCTCTGTAATTAGATCCTGTTGTTGCATTTTCTCTGTCAAATTCCATTCATGTGGGGGATTGTTGGAAAAATTAGGTTTATTAGGCTTATTTTGGGCCGACTTTGAGCCCAAAATTGAGTGGGCCCCAAACGTCTTTTGGGGTGGGTCCGAAGAGGTGAAGTGTTCATTGTCGCGTAGCAAGTCACACGGTGAAGACGGTTCGTCAAAATCATTTATGAGTGAATAGGAACATGACGTCGTTTTCGGGTTCGTGGAATAGGAAATTTAAGGAAGTAAATGTGGGTTTCTTTGGAAAAAGTTGTCCCACATTAAAATTTTAAGAGAGTTTTGTTGTGTTTATAAGCTCTAACCTACAACACTTGGGTAGAACCCCAAGGGGCACCCCAAGTTTGTAGAAGGGAGGAGTTATGGACAAAGTGAACCTTAGCCTAAGCCACCACACATGGGCACGCGCGCCACCGCTGCCGTCCGTCCGGCCGAGCCGAGCCGTGCCGGGGTCGGGTCGGTTCTTGTATTAATTTTTTGGACAAAATTCATTTGAATTTTTTCAAAAAAATTATTGCGAGAAATTAATTCAAAATTTGAATTCTACATGTCTAGTCCGAAATTCAAACAAGTTTTCAATCTGTTGAACAGATTCAATTTCATAACAGTTACAGATTCGAATTAGTAACTGTATCTTTTAGTTATAGATTCAAATCTGTCCAAAACTGTACAGGAGTTACAAACAGAACTGTTTGAATTTCAAACAAAATCTGTCCAGTTTGAATTCCCACCTGTTCACTTCAAATTAGCACCTATTCGGGTCAGATTTTTTGCCTATAAATACCAACATTCCAGCAGTATTATTGGATCCGAAAAATCAGTCTGCAACTTTCATATTGTTGTCCAGAATTTACTCCTTTGCATTTTAATCTTCATTCTAGTTTTAGAGATAAAATAAAGAGAGTATAAGAACACAAGGTTCTAGTTCGCCGTACAAATTTGTGTGGAGTGCTACTACAAGTTTGTGAAGATCATTGTATCCTGAGAGATAAACACCACTCAACTGTAAGCACCGTAGCGAGGCGAATCTATCTTAAGGACAGAGTGTCACACACTCGACTTGGTCTTTTATTCTTTATTCGGTTGGATAAAATAAATTCTGTAAGTTATTTATTTTATTTATTTGTTTCGGTTTCATTTTATTTTATTTACACAGAAGATTGTTCCAACAATAGCGA